TATGTGAATGGGGACTGCTGCCCCCTACTGTGGTATAGCGAGAATTGAGCAATTTCGTGAACCACGTGTAGCCAATCTAGGGAGGGGGGGGGGGCGGTTGAGGGCTGACATGCGGAAAAGCAATGTGTCTACTTCATAGCGTCTCATCACGTAATAGTAGCGGGCAGCAAAGTAAGCAAAGCAGTTCTTTGGCGTTTCTGCTGGGGCCGTATTACAGCTAGGTCTGCAGCTCCGCCAAAAGAGCTGGTTTGCTTACCCCAGGACTAAGCCTTGGAGAGAGGACGGACCTGCGCTCTCTCGCAGGTCCGTCCTCTCTTTAAGGCTTAGTCCTGAGGTAAGCATCAAATTGAGGCGGTTTTAAGGACCGAGTTGAAGTAGTCCGTCGACCGTCGGGGACCCCATCCCCTCCCAACATTCAGCATACGGCCCCAGCAGAAACGCCAAAAGGGCTGGTTTGCTTACTTCGCGGGCACAGTCCCCACTTTCATACATTTCGCGCCTACCGTATTCAAAAAACACGGAGTGCCCATCCCGCTTGTATTGCACCCATGAGTGTAATATATCATGTGGGGTTTCTGAGGAGGAACCGGCATTGTACTCTTTTCTTTTACTTTTCTATCTTATTTTCACTTTTTGCTTCTCTATGTACGATGATGAGTTTCGCTAGCATTTTGTTTTCGAGGTGTCCTCCCCGAGTGTCGGCCGTCGAGGATGTGCCAGCTGTGAGGAGCTTTGCGGGTGCAGGATCGAGTGACAGTAGAGGTAATTTTCAAATTTGTCGAGAAAAGTAGAAGTATCGAGTAGTGTTGAGGGACATCCTGGTGCACAGTAGTTGGGAGGGGTTAGTCGATTTTCGAATGCGGTAGGCGTGAAATGTCGCGCAGTGATATCGGACTTGATGGGGCTAAGCCTTGGAGGGGGGGGGGGTGAGAGAGTTGGAAGATTGAGAAGAGAAGGAGTTGCGATTTTCAGCAAAATTCCATAGAAATTCTAATAAATGTGCTCATCTGCTACTCACGTGTGCTCAAAAAGGGTGCGTTTTTGACCCTATGTGGCAAAAAAGACTCCGGGAAAAATTGTCCAGTTGAGCTGGTAAGTTTAACTTTTCCACCATACAGTGCAGACCCTACTCTAACTAACTGTATACTTCTTTTGTCCAGGCCTAACTTTTTAGCAAGTGAGAGGGATGATTTGTCAGATGATGTCAAAACCGACCTACCTCTCTTTTTCGACTCAAAAAATTCCTAGCTTTAATCGTACGAGGTTTCCACTCATACTGGTAAATGGGAAAGTGCTAATGAGTCATTCGATGAATATGCTGTTTCACTCCCCGGATTCTGAATTAAAATATTGGTGGTCCGAAACTCGTGGTGAAAAAACGACACTAAGATATCCGGTACCTAATATGAAGCACATTCCCATGATATAATCGACTTGGGTTTTCTGGCAGACTGTCAAAGGTTTTTCGACGAGCTGAAAGAGTATAGGGCAGCGTGTTTGGTGGAATCAGCTAAGAATTCTGGAAAGTGGTCTTGTTTGGTGCTCCGGACGAACTATTGGCCGAGGCGGCACCTAGGCGGCAATTTCGGCCTACGTGTACCAGTGGCAAAATACCGCGCCACATGACCGCCTCCCCCATTGTACGGGAGACGATCAAGCCTCCCAACAATGTCAGGTCGACGCCGCAGCGTAGTGGCCACGCTCCTACGCGGGCAGCCGGTTGACTATGGGCGCGGCGAGATCAGGGTTAAACGGTCACGTTGGACCGATTTCAAAAGTTTTACGACCCCCCCCCCCAAGATGTACTACACACTGCCAAGGAAAAGGCTCACATCACGGAATATAAGTGCAATCTGAAAACAAACACAAGGCACAAAGTTTGAATCCGAAGCAACTAGCAGACATGAGCTTTAGTTGTTTAGTGGTGAACAAAATCACAAAATGATCTGCCTTCATTAGTAGAGGAATAGGGTTGCCATATAACTTGAATGGCGCATGCCTAAAAGATAGTGAGCTTTCATAACTTGGCTTTCAGAATCACAAAAAAGTATTTCCATTTTGATACACAAGCACATATCAGAATGGAGAATATTCATAATGATTTTGAATTGCAAACGAGCGCATGGCGCATCACAGAGCAGGAGAGCCTACCGCAGAAGTGAATTTTTGTCGTGAACAGCCATGTATGGACACTTCTGCAGTACACTCTACTGCTCTGAGGTGTGCCCAGAGTCAACCCTGCGTTGCGCAGTTCGCAACGGCACGTTGAGAGATCCTCAACGCACGCTGTATGGGCGGAGACGCAGACGGCTCGAGCATGCGAGTGTGAATGTTCGCGCGAGAGAACGTGTCTAATCGGGCGAAACTGCGCAACGTGGCCGTTGAGAACTGCGCAACGCAGGGTTGACTCTGGTGTGCCATGCACTCGCTAATGGTCAATAGTTGGAGATGCACTCAAAGTTGTACCCCTCATCCACTGTCGCAACAGCAAACATCCTCATTCTAATAGTTAATATGCGGCTTTTGGAGAACTGTAAAAGTTTCGGAAACTTCAAATATTTCTCTATAAAAACAGTATAAAAAGTTTAGTGATTGTCCCCTTTTTCAAAAAATTGTCCCGTTCGAACATTTTCCGTGCAAAAGCGAGTTTTTGGGCTTTCAGCGACCATAACTCTTCATTTTCATTTCTGTGATGCACTTTTTTCATGGGGTGAAAGTAGGATTGCTCTCTTCTGAAAAGCGCTCAAACCTTTCTCAAACTCCTTTTCCGAAAAATCACACGTTCGACTTTTTTCCCCATAGGTTTTTGAGCAGTAACACTGAGTTTTTGAACTTTCAGCAATAACAACTGGGTGGAGCGAGGACATTTTTGCCAACTGCAAGATTTTCGCTTTCTAATGTGCTCCAGATTTCTCTAGAAGAAACGTCCT